TATCTCTTGTAAACAACTTGAGCAAAGTATGACCGCTCAACTCCATCGCTAAAAGAATTCAATATTGAATGACCTAAATGCAATAGGTTAAAGATTTCAAAGATTTTACATACATTTTTCAATTCTCGTAGTGCATACACTTTTCACATTCGGTACCACTTCATTGTTTATTCACATAGAAAATAAGATTAGGGTATTGGTATTGTAAAATTCTTGGATATTCGCGCACTTCCTTTGAGCACCTTTCAAAGCGCAGGCTTTATAATATTGAGATGTTGATTGATGAGTACCAGCAAGTTTGCAAATCGAATGCTATAAAAGTGTCGATTCGCGTTATTTGATTCTATGAACACTTCCACCCCGTGCGATTCCATTTTCGCTTTCTTCATTTCCAGTTTAACCTTCGGAGATCTGATGCTGAGCCTTGGCGTAGATGACAAATTCAGCAAATTTTTACTTTTCTACTTTTCTGTATGTGCGCGAGCAGAATCACATTTCTGCGCATGGACCGTCTCGGGAGCGAAAGTAATGAAATGATAGCATGGCCTATTTCTAATAAAATTGTTGATTGTTTTATTTACCTTTTCTACTGCATTTCTAATAATCAGCGAGGCTAATCACCTGGCAAACATTTTTTTGCAACAAGACATAACGAAATTAAGCGCCTTTAATTTGCAAATTAAAAGTTTTGTTTATGTCTTTGATATTATTAAATAGGCCAAAATATAACTTCGTTTGAGTCTGCACGTTTCTCACAAGTCGTTTGTGAGCAAGTATGGCATTATTTGAAAGAGCACTTTACGATGAGTGGTATGATGTAGCCTCATCTCAATGCGCATTCATTTCAAAAAAAAACCTTTAGAAGATACGCGGCCAAAAATTTGCACATGTTGTCAAACAAGGGAAACGTGCAGCAGGATCCCATGCAACTGTGCAGTGCTTTTAGAGAGAAGATCGTAAGTGAACGGCAGGCTCAGAATTGGTTTACACGTTTTCGAAATAGAGGTGAGACCTGAGAAGAGCTCGCCCGATGACCGCGAATTAAGGGAGATAGTCGAGACAACTCATCCAACTCAAACGACATGAGAGCTGGCTGGAAAGTTTAACTGCAAGTCCAGACGGATCCAACTCAAGCGACACGAGAGCTGGCTGGAAAGTTTAACTGCACATATGCTACTATTGAAAATCATCTGAGCTTTTGAGAAGACCAACAAATGCGGAAGTTGGGCACCGCCCATGCTTAAACCAAAATTATTTTTAGCCAACCTAATACTATAGCTTGCATAAGTCATACCGATGAAATTTTCAATGTTGAAAACCATCAACAGCAACAACATACCAACACATCCAGTAATCCTTCAAATTCAAATCAACAAACAGGAAGCTACAGCAACTCTTATCTTTTCAGTTAAAAGAAAAATTAAATTGTGCCTTTGTCCTTTTTTGCTTCCTTTGTGCAGCTGTAATACTTTGGAGGAGGAGGAAGTAATAACTGAGCTTTAGTTTGGCTAGACTGCTGCTCCATCCCCCGCATCATGACTGACGTCCTGAAAAGGTCAACAATTTAGAAGTAATAATTGTATAAAAGGCTTTGTCGAAAATGTCAAGCATCGATATCAACTGTTCATCATTAATTTTCGCAATTTCTATAATGCTGTCTTTAAAAA